TTTAGATGTTACCTGGTACTATATGAGTGCCATTATAGTTGCCTGACTGTCAGCCGGGTATTGCGATTTCAAGGATCCGGTAGTTACGTTCAAGTTTAAAACTAGCGCATCTATCAATCGCGTATATTTTCGCTTGAAAGATGGACACATTATTTCCCAGTTCTTCCCAGTATCTTTTGCCTGGTCTATATAGACCAGCTGCAGTTCACTGGTGAGGGAGCCGTCTGTATATCAGGCAAGCCTTCCGAATTCTTTTTGTTGCAAAGTTCAGTTTTATTCTTTCATCACAATTGACTTTGACTTTAATAAATATTATTTACTAAATATAATATAAAATAAAAATAAAAATATTAAATAGAAATAAATATATCATCATCATTATCATATATCTTGATCCTATGTATATAGTTCAGATGTCGTATGTAAATATTATCATTTATTATTATTATTTAGTCTTTCATAGCGTAATTCGAACCATATGGTGAGAAGTCCTCTTTTGCTAGTCCAAGAAATTATACAAAGTCAATGCCATACATATCAGAGACACCACAATATTTTTCTTTATTTATTATTATTATCCACTAGCGTACAAATATGTATATAAATTTAAACCAACCGATATTATTTTTATCAACAAAACGGGTTTTTACAATTTCTGCATTAAATAAATATAAAATTGATGAAAAAAATTGGCATACATAGTGAAGAATACTAGAGCCAGTAGTGTAGGCAGGATTTTTCCAAGAGGGTAATATTATAATTTGGTTGAAACAAGTTTGGAACTCCGACTTATAGTCCATTCCAGCAATTGCATGGTATTTACCATATTACCATTCTTATTCCACTTATCGCCATGAAATAAAATTATTGGTCGAGCTTGAATAGGTTATTAATATTGTGGTCATTAATCCCCTGATATTGAATGGAACAACTTTTTGATAGAGTTCATCAAAACTCACTACTTGTGGGCTCCTAATTAATTTTCTCTTTTTATGTATATATATTTATATTAAATATGAGAATATTTTTTTTAATAATACTAAAAGGTTAATGGGAATTACTTCAATTCTCTTCAAATATATGAATATACTTATTTTGATTATTCTTTATCGTAGAGCATGGTGGATTTACGAGTCTCTCTACATATATTTAATAGTGTTTGGGTTATTCTCTTGTTGGTGAAATTTTTTTTAAAAAAAACATTCCATTTAATTTCAACTGTGTGAAATGCCCTCTGCTTCACTTAGTAGTGAAGGAAAGCAGTAAGTAAGTAAGTAAGATTTAAACTAAGCTGTTATGAGTTTAATACAATACTTTTTCTTTCTAAAGTGTACATCACAATAAAACCCAATCACTTAGTCAGTTGAACTTTGTGATCGAACACAGAAGAAAAGTTAAGTACCTTGAACATATAAGGTTTCTCTAACTTGAATTTTTAAGTTTCTTTAATAAATCTAAGCAAATCCGGCAGAGAGAAAGAGGGAGAGCAGAAATATCATTCATGCTCAGAGCATCATCACTCAATGTGTTGTCCACGTTCTTGAGACATGGATGACATATTAGCCCCGTGAGTGTTCCCATAGCGGCTATGTGATGTTCACCTATGTTGTGTCCTGTGTTAGCTCCAAGATCAGTATTCTGAAATCCTTTCTTCTCAACTGCTTCAAAAATGTCGTCAGTCCGCTATAAAGTTCGTTATGCTACCTTGTAAGATTCTATTTTGAACTATTTTCTTTTGTAGGCAGAGTTCACAAAGTTATTAACCCAATCGCCTTAGCTTCATGAGGTTTGAGTTGTAAAATATCTGACTAGCAAAAGGTTTGAGTAGTAGAAGTCCTGAATAGTAGAAGACTTGAGTAGCAGAAGATCTGAGTAGCAGAAGACTTCGGTAACAGAAAGTTTGAGTAGTAAAAGGTATGTGTACCAGAAGCTCTGAGTAGCAAAAGGTATGTGTAGCAAAAGGCCTGAGTATTAGAAAGCTAGAGTAGCAAAACACTAGCAGTAGCAGTAGGCTGGAGTAGCAGTAGGCTGGAGTAGCAGTAGGCCTGAGTAGTAGAATACCTCAGTAGCAAAAGGTCTGAGTAATAGAAATCTGGAGTACCAAAAGGCCTGAGTATCAAACGATCTAAACAGCAAATTGCTTGAGTAGCAAAAGGTCTGAGTGCTACAAACTTTAATATATTTTTACTTCATTATAAATAAATTTTATGGGACGAATTTAATTTCCAATTATTTGTTACTCGTTGTTTCTGAAATCAGTGTAAAAATTGGAAAGATTGCAGTTTTTGTTAGTTTAACCAATGTAAAAAGTTAACAACTTTAAACCTCTATATCTCTAGAATTATAGCGCAGGCATATAGCGTAGTGATATATGCCCGAGAAATCAGAAAGGCGACAATTTTTATTAATAAGAAACTAATCTCATCGAAATATACTAAAACATTTTTTTTTTTTAGTACCGGATACATCTGAGTTGATCTTATATGTAAGATTATAGTACATACAACGCTTCTTTGGAAATAACAACTTATTTACCAGTTGTGAAACTGCAGTTTAATCTTTATCTGTCACCCATAAATATTCCTATATAAAAAATTTATAGTTTAAACTATAGCTCAATTAAATTAATATGTTATTCGTTTTTAATTTCAAATGTTAATTATTTTTTAAAATTAATTTTAATATCTTCAACTATTCAAGATATTAAAATACTGGCACTTAATACTCGTTAAATCAATTAAAAATTACTGGATATTTCCTTTTTTTTCTATATTTTTGGAAATAAAATAATTTTTTAATAATTTAATAACTTAATAAAAAAATGTTTAAATTATAATTATTTAGTCGTCACACTGAAAGAAAAAAATAATTATAAACACACTTACTGGCATTTAAAAAAAAATAAATTATATTTATCAACAACCCAAGAGTGCAGCTCATGTGCTGTAAATGTGTTTTTCCGGTAAACTACCACCTACGAATACTGAATACTACCTGAGTTATGATTAAATATAAAAAAATAAATCAAAATAAAATAATTAAATAAAAATACTCACTTTTTCTGCATATATTAAATGCTATTTACTCAGAAATCTACAAACGGTCATTTCGACTTACCACATTTCATAGTTACAATAGTAGTTATAATGTATAAAAAATTGGAAGAATCTTGGAGTGTACACGAGAAATTGGAATATAAAGAATCAGTTAGTTTTTTCTAACATCCAATACGGTACATTCATTCTTGCAAAAATAGGAAAAGAAATCGGTAAAAAGATTCAGATTATTTCTATATCGCGCTATTATTCTTAATTCACTCATTGATTTTTCAATTTCTTAATAAATGGTTTACTATCACGTCTTTTAGGGTTTTAAAAGCTGTGATTTTTCGGGGTCTACGAATTTTGATAGAGTCAGCTATTCTGAAAATTTCTTACACTAGACTATATATCGATTTATAAAGTAGGAAATTTTAACATTAAAACTAAATGTTAATAACATTAAACCTCGATATCTTGAGAAGTAAGCGATAATGGCATAGAACATAGTGAAAATGTTGTAGTGAATCTCGATTAAATACGTTACCTCTGATTTACTAATCAAAATTGTCATTACTCTACGATTCGCTTAGGCGTAAATGGAAAATTATCTTCAATATCTTCATTCAATTTTTCTGTCATAATTTTATATTAAATTTAATTTTTAAATATTAGTTATGATGATAGAAACTATTTTTTTAATAGAAACTATTATCGTGATAGAAATTATTTTCTTAAAAGAAATTATTGTTTTAATTGAAACTATTTTCTTGATAGAAACTAATTTCTTAAAAAAAACTATTTTCTTGTTAGAAATTATTTTCCTAATAGAAGCTATTTTCTTAAAAGAAACTATTTTTAATATAAGCTACTTTTTTAGAAGAAACTAATTTCTTAAAAGAAACTTCTTTCTTGTATGAAACAATTTTCTTAATAGAAAATATTTTCTTAAAAGAAACTAATTTCTTAAAATAAACTACTTTCTTAACAGAAACTACTTTCTTGAAAGAGACTATTTTCTTAAAAGAAACTATTGTTTTAATAGAAACTATTTTATTAATACAAACTATTTTCGATAGAAACTTTTTTCTTGATAAAAACTATTTTTCTAATAGAAGCTATTTTCTTAATAGAAACTGTTTTCTTAATAGAAACTGTTTTCTTAATAGAAACTATTTTCTTAAAAGAAACTAATTTCTTAAAAGAAACTATTTTCTTAAAAGAAACTTTTTTTAAAAGAAACTTTTTTCTTAAAAGAAGCTATTTTCTTAAAAGAAAATAGATAGAAACATTTATTAATAGACACTACTGTTTTAATAGAAACTATTTTCTTAAAAGAGACTATTTTCTTAATAGAAACTATTTTCTTAATAGAAGCTGTTTTATCAATAAAAACTATTTTATTAATATAAATATGTTCACGTTTAAATATAAATACATATGTATATAAATTTGGTCATTAAAAATAGAGTTTAGAAAAATGTTTTTGTTATTTTCAGGATTGCATTCCAAAGCAGTACCTCTCAAATGGAAAAAGACTTTTGACGATGTAGCAACTGCTTCATCATGGTCGGGTATATGACTTTACGAATACAGAGTTAGTTAGCATGAGTATCTTCTACTACAAAATTGATTGCCTTGCTGAAACCAAGTTGACTCGAAATAATTGAGACGCTCTGAGAGAGAGAGAGAGATCACATTTTTAATTCCTCTCTGTTCTTTCTCTTCTCTACGCTTTTTTATTTGTATACCACATAACGACTTAATAATTAATAATTGGTAATATAAACGGAGTTATAGTAAAATTAAGCATGCCTTTCCGGAATGTAAAACTCACGAATCGTGATAGCGTAAACACCCACAATTTCATTTAATGTGCAATTGAAAATAAAATATTTATTAATAATACTAATAACAATAATTGGAAAAGCAGCCGCTGTACAAACGAAAACTGGTTTCAATGGCAGCTTCAGAAATTCTCTGGATGTGACTGTAGATCTTCCTCTAATTCTACAAATCCACTGAAATTGAGTGAGTGATAACCACAAAAACAAAAACAACAACAAAAACAAGTTGTCACACTAATTTAAGAATGTGCACAACAAAGCCGATTTAGAAAAGAACATTAAATTGCAGAGCATGATGAGTAGTCCGATCAGTTAACTAGATCAGTCGAAGGGTTTCGGTTGGGTAGAGCGCGTACAAAATCTATACGAGAAATACAGAAATAAAGCTCTGATTGTGATTCGTGATTCGCGAACAGATTGAATGAATTGACTGAAAACTGAAAACTAGAATTAAATACGACGAGTGTGTAAAACAGCGAAAATAAAAAGATTATAATTGTTTTTGTTATTTCTTGTTTTATTATTTATTCATTGTGTAGTTTCACAAATATAATATTAATTTAGTTTGTCGTTAGTCGCTTGTGTATTTAGCAGTGATAGCGCGAAACAGTCGTCATATTGAAGTGGAAGAGAATTGCCTGTATGCAATGGCATATTTTGGGATTTATCAATTGCAGCTTTTGGTTTGCGTGGCTCTGGTAGCATTTTGTATAGCTGAAACGCAAATAAATTTGTCACAAATCATCAGAGATACACCGTTCAATAAGCATGTTACCCAACAATTACAAAATACTGGAGATGATCAATCAGCTTTAGCGCAAAACACGCAAAATGTTCCTTCAACATTAATACAAGGTACTACACTAAATGGTCCTCCAGCACCTCCAACACATAATGTTCGACCACAATTAAATCATAATGGTCGTCCAGCACTAACACAGAAAGGTTCTCCAGCATTAACGTATTATACTGATCCAGCAATTACAACAAATGTAGTACAAAACTCAAAACCAGTCTCACCGCCTGTACCCCCACCGCCTGCGATCTCACCGCAACCATCAGCTTATCCTCACAGTATACCATCAAAACCGTACGAGCTAACATTATCAGATAAAATAGCTTTGAACATCCTCGGATTCGCAAATGACATTGGACAACAGCTAAACAATAATGCGTACAGTAGCAAGTGTGAGGTGTTCTCTCCGTTGAGCATAATGTCGGCGCTCGCATTATTGATGCTTGGCGCTAAGGGCAAAAGTTATCAAGAACTGGCAGCTCTGTTTGGTATTTACTATGACGCCGAATTTGCTCGCGATACTAGCAAATTTCATGACGAGTTCGCGCAAATGCTTGAAGACCTTCAATGGCCAGATCAGTACTCACTTCGCGATCGCCTTAACGCCGCTTGGAAGAGTACGGGTTCAAATTCACGTAAAAAGCAATCAAACAACAATAAGGCAAACCGGCCCACGGAACATATAATTCGAGTTGCAAATGGTTTATTCACACAAAGCGGATATAGCTTAAATCCAGATTATAGGTTAGTATTAATTTTTATATACATATGTCTACATATATACTACTCGTATATGCAAATTGGTTTTAAATTAGTTATACACTGCAAATTGTCATGTTGAGTTCTTTTCAATTCATATATACATACATATATATTTCTACATATATATGTATATGTATACTAGTAAATCTTCTTCAGAGTTTATAGTTATTAAAATGAGTTATGGTCAATTACAATATATTAAGTAGTATCACTACAATATATTAAGTAGAACCATTTGCTTACTCATACTTTAAATAACAATAAATAATGATTTATTATATCTGAGATTCATACAAAAACAAAAGAACCGTATAAAGAAAACATTGGGAAAACCCAATGTAATAATCAAGTGTTTTTAATTATACTCTATACTCTTTTTACGGGACAAATATACTAAGAAATTAGTTTCCAATATTTTTTATATATACCATATATTATAATATATTTATAATATATTTATATATTATAATATCTATATATAATATATATTACATATATATATATTAGCTTAAAGGGTTTCGTTTTGACTGGAAGTCTTTTTCCGATAGATAATCCTTTGACATTCAGTACCACGAATTCTTAGTAAAATTAGCTTCTCAAGGTAATAATTTTCACGATTTCCCGAGAACAGATTTTAATAGCGTCAGTTATTTTAAACAACTTACCCATCATGTAAGTACATTACCATACAATATAGTTTATGCCTAGAGAAATCGGTGCTTAAAGTAATTAACTTTTTGTGTTGATTGCATTAACAAAAACTATATACGCCATCTATTGCGAATTAGTATATGAAATTTTGACATTGATTGCACAAATGTTTATATATAACAATTATATAACAAGAATGTTTGATATCATGTAAAAATTTTCAACTTTAAAGCCCAATATCCCCAAATCCATTCTCAAATCGCTACATCCAGAAAATTTAGATCGTACATCGATCATTTTTGAAAATGGATTCCCATTCATTATGTGAGCTTAAAAAAAATCATGAAAGTACTCCTAAAATCGAAGTATCTTTTAATATCTAATACCCATATTTAGCCAACATATTTTCAATAAAAAGTTTAGATCGTGTTATCTCTATATATAGCTTCACTATCTTCTGATATCGTCTGAATATCATGTTTAGTGTAAAAGCAAAAATATTTTCACATACAGAGTTTATATTTTTCTAACGCTATATATAGTTCCACTGATTATTATATAAACTTCAAATAATAATAATAAACTACATAACGATAATAATACTAAACAAAGTCAATAGATCATATTAAAAACAAAGAATGGCAAACCTATTATCTATTGTTCTCTTCGGATTTAAACATTAAATACTTGAAATTGATGAAAAGAAGTACCTAAAGTCAATAGAAGTTATTCTACAATTACTGTACACGGATAACTAAGCCATCAATCTGTGCTGTTTAAGTTAGAGAACCTGTACAGCTTAAAATATAGCTTTGGAAGTAGTGATTTTATTCTTTATTTTACTCTTGGTTTGAAATTGGACGAAGTTGAAAGATACAATTATAAATTAAATTTGGTTAGAGAAACTAAAGCTCTCATCATATACTGGTTATGTCATTTAGACAGTACCCACTATAATGACAACATGACTTTAATAATAGTTGTTATAACCAAACGTTTGCAACGTACGTTAGATGTCTGAAAAATAAATAATCTACTGGGAATATTAATACTGTATGTTATATATACATAATTCCATTCACTAGAAGTTTTGGGTAGGTTTTTTTTTTGGAATTAATCGTTTTTTCCACAATTACAAGAAAAATGACAACAATTCAGAATTCTATACCCATTTCCAGATCATGAAAATAACAAGATGAGTGGGAATGCAAGAACAATCAGACAATTTCCGATTTATGCTAGTGTCATATATCTTCGAGTGTCATGACGTAAAATTTAAGCAAGAAGGAATGTAATATCTACGCACTGATTACAATCCGACGCCCCGGATAGTGAGTGCCCGACTCTCACGGACTAAAACTATTTCCCTTCATTTCTGGAGACCTTGTCCTAGCACGAGAGTACGTAAGTGCTACTTCGGGTTAACCCCTAAAAATATTGGCTTTTTAAATTTGATAAAAAGTAACAACGATTTTTCATTCTTTACTGTTGTTCCACATTTCTTTTCCTTACCGGTAGTGGCGTACCCAATATTGTGCCAAGGAGATGATTTGCAATTCGCTAAATCAATTTATAGTTTTTATTTTTTATAATTATATGTGTGAAGTAAATCCTCTAACAACGTCCTCTCTCTACTGGATACGGAACTGTTTAATAATATTTATTTTGTCTAGATATAGAGATGATCACATATCAATTCACCAACTGTTTCTTAGATTTAGCCAATATATCATAATATATAATATATACAATATATCATACTATTAATTGTACTAAAAACTTCAGATCTTATGCTATGTTTCGACTACTGTACTGTACTACTGTATACGCCAAAAGTGCAGCGATATGTCCCTTTTTTCATGCAAAATCCATACAGAAATATGCTAAAGAGGTCTAAGTGTAAATATAGTATTATAGAATTTATATAGTTAAATTTATAGGTTATTATCAAATATAATTATATTCTAGTATATTTTTTTAGATAATATAAATATTAAATTCATATACGGGGCTACTCTAGTCTTAGGTTTCATCAAAAAAAATATATGTAACATTTTTTTTCTTCTTTTCTTTCAGCAATATTGTAAAATCAGTTTACCATTCGGAATTAGAACCCTTAGATTTCAATGGTAGATCAGGAGAAGCACGTAACTTCATTAATGCATGGGTCAATAGCAGAACTTTTGGAAAAATTCGTAATATCGTACATGGTGATTTGCCGAAAGATACAAATGTTATTATTGCAAGTACGCTTTACTTCAAAGGCTTCTGGGAGACACCGTTCTTTGCTGCAGTAACAGTTTCTGACGATTTTTATCCAGACGGTCCAGATGGCCCCAGTGTTAAAGTACCAATGATGGGTACTGGTGGTGTTCTGCCATTTTATGATGCTGTTGAATACGACTGCAGAATTATTGGTTTACCATACGTTGGTAATGTGACAACTATGTATGTGATACAACCGAACTATTCGACACGTCTTAAATTGAGACAATTCCTATCAACATTAGATGCACAAAAAATTGAAGATATGATCTCAAGAATGACATTGAAGACAGCAGTTCTTGCCTTACCAAAAATGCATTTTTCACGTAGTCTAAATATTAAGGATATGCTTTATCGCATGAATGTAAATGATATATTTGTGAGTGGTCAAAGTGATCTCTCATTGATCAGTAATGATCAGATTACATATTCTGTATCACAACAACAGACTCCAACCAGTCAAGTACAAAGTCATGTACAATCCAGTGTACCACAACCACAACCAGTAAGGGATAATAATCGAAATACGTTTGTATTTAGCCCAACTGTAGATAATGGAAATGGAAATTCCGGTTTGATTCGTAATGCGAAACAAAACTCCAGACCTAAGAGAGATGTTGCCGATCCTAAAATTAAGCGTAGTTTCGTTAATTTAGAGACTGAACGCAATACACAGAGAAGCACCAAATCAAATCTATTCGTAGAAGATATAGTACACAAGGTAGATTTCGATGTGAACGAGTATGGCACAGAAGCTGCTGCAGCCACTTTAACATACCTAAGACGTTCCGGTACTGATGTACACTTCCGCGCAGATGCACCGTTCTTACTGCTTATACGGCATGATCCAACAAAATTACCACTATTCTATGCTATCATAAACGAGCCGGAATCTTAAACAGCCTAGCTTAGTATTTAATTATATACCAGCAACATAATTGACATGTTGGTGCTTATGTGCTTTAAACTGCATTTAACTCTTTCCCAATAGAAATTCACTGTGTTAATTTATCGAACAAATTTTGTTAAGTTTTTATTTATATAACTTTTATTTAAATATATTTTTCGCGATTATTAGCTCGTTAATAATGTAATATTTTGTTAAGCAAAGCATGACAAATATTTAAATATACATATATAAGTATGTACTATGACTTTAAATATGTAGGTATATAATCGTATAATACTTTCAACTGCAAGTCTCGAATTTTAGAAACTCTAAAATAATAAACTAAAATATTATGTATTTTCTTTGATTGTTTTATTTATTTAATATTATTAACACGTACATACAATATGTGTGTAGTTTCAATGAGATAGGGTAACGACCTTTAAGTCAGAAAGCCTCCATAGATCGATTGTATCATTTCTAGTAAATTTTTGATTAAATGAATATAAGACTGAAGCGTAAACAGTAATTCTGTTTAATTAGGGAAACACATCAGAAGTCCCAAGGTAACGTCTGATAGTCTCTACATTAGCATAGATTCGATGAGTATATTGAAAGATGACCGAATGTCCGAATTCACTGTCATACCTTGAGCTTCAAAACTGAGTTCAGTATAAAGTTAGTCAGAATCATACTCATGACTTAAGTATGATTTCAATGTGTATTGAGACGCAAGTTATGATTATGAAACCGGCTTAATAGTTTTGGAGAGAGGTATTAATTTATATGGTGAAGAGATTACCATAAGTTTATAATTAGTGTGAAACACATTATACGTTACCAGATCATTGTTGTACATAAATACATATTTTTTCAATCACAAACATTGATAAAATTCTGTGTGAGAAGACATCAGTACCATTACATCACTTCTCATTCAAAACTTCAAATATTAATTTATTCATACCAGATAAGACATAATATTATATTAATTAAAAAATAAAAATAGGGTAGAGGCTAATTAGATCTGTAACTGCACTATTAAATACTAATTTGACAATATATTTGACTTATATGGAAATAAAAAATAAAAGGTGTGTTCACGATCTCTTGTGAAAAGCTTGTAACCGAGTAACATAGTTAAATCAAGTTTCCATTAGAGCTAAAATTACTTATGTTAATGAAATCAAGATTTGGTCGTTTCCATTGGCTTAAGCTGGTTTATGCATGTGAAAAATGTTGTTCGATTATATTTTACATATTTAAATATATATATATATATATATATATATATATATATATATATATATATTTATATATTATATATTTACATTTTATAAACATAAAACATATGACAAATATTTCCAATTTTGATAATTTCCGTTATGGAAAATTTATTTTTAAGTGTTGCATTCAACATTTGTCGTTTTAAATTAGTTTTATTTATAATGAGCTCATTTATATAAATGCTCATTGTATTGTAAATAATCCTCATTAGCGGCCTTAATGAGCAAAAATGCCAAAATGAGACAAATGTAAACATGGTATTAAGTGTTGACAAGTCTACCCAAAAAGAGCGTAACATCCCTGTCGAAATTTGAAAATGCTACACAGACTTTACGCGTACATATTATTTCAAGTAAAATTTGTGTTGATGTGTGAATCAGCTGTTTTGCTTTGAATTCAAATTTTTTTATAGTTTGTTTGCGCAGCACTGGTGTTCTCCCCAGACTTTACACAAAGCTGTTCCATGAAAATTTGTGTAAAGAGGTACTTGGTACTTTATGTGTGTTACGCTCTCAGTTTGTACTTTACTTGTGTTTTATTTGAGTTTTACTACGAGTAGCTTGTGGAACAGATTCATTGTATGCAGAAACAACCTTAAGTTTCGACTGAGGTTGCTACAAGATCTATTCTGTTGTAGCAACAGTCACTGATTTCACCTCAGTCACAATTATGATATACATATATAAGTCTTGTTAATTATTTCTATAGATTAGTGTTTAGAAAAAACAGCATGTGTCACATTGAAAAAAAATTCATTTAAGTGACTTATGTATATGATAAATAATACAGATTACAGAATACTTGTATGAATTTTAATAAAAATTGGACTGTGTATGTAATAAACAAACACGCCACTGCATGGTGAATAAAATTAAATTGCAAAGAATACCCAACAGGAACGGCAACTTTATTATTAACTAAATTTTGTTTTTCCGAACAACAACAGTTTGCAATAGTGCTCTTGAGGGGTTAATGAAAAATGCACTAACTTCAGCTGAAATCACTGACATTTTGCAATAAAGATTTTTGTATGGTAAATCATCATCATTGGTGGCTATACTGAGCAAAATCGACTAATTGAAACAGTAACCATAATTTTTTTTCTGCAGCGTTGTAAAAAACAACATTAAGTCTGGTTGAAATAAATTGGCATCACTTTTAAAATATTTCAAATGATTGATTTTGACAAGCATATGTTGTTTGTTGTGTTGTGTACAATATGAAAACATTAAAAATTAATTAATTTAAATAGATTAAAACAAAATAAATATTAAAATGACAATGGTAAGCATTATTATTTTGTGAATATATTTAAATTAATTTATTTATTTATGTATTTGAACTTAGTAAATGAAACTCTCATACAATTTTAACGGACGACTGGAATTTGAAACATATTTCCAATGAACATTCACAATAGACCGATTTTTGAATTTGGCTGCATTGAAAGTTAAGACGTAAAATTTTTTGCGAGTAAAACCTAACTCTGAAAATTTTAAGAGCATTGTTGTTGCTTCATATGTTTTCTTTCGTACGTTGCGAGTATTTTTTTGCTATTCTGAAAGAAAAAATTACCGCTAGTGTAAATGTGCTATAACAAGTTAATATTTATTCGGGCATAAAAGGAAACTTTAAAATTTCCTGCCATCTTAACATTGCTTTTAGTGTATTATTCATTTTAATTTTCAATTTCATATTAATTATTTATTTTTATACAAAATGTAGTTTCCTTACATTATGTACACATATATGAGATTTGTCCTTTGCAAAAACATGACATATAACGTGACATCAGCACTGTTGTGCTGATAATATGTTATTTAGGCCATGTGCGAGTTTGAGTAAATTTAGATAAAATAAATTGAAATTTTTTAGGGATTTTTTACACTGCACTTATTTAAATTTTTATTAATTGCACTCACTTATTATTTTTGGTTAAAAGAATTCTGGTAAATACTAACAATCGCTACCAAAACGACATAGTTAACTATTTCCTTCAATTAACCATCAATTTACTTTAACTCAAACGCGGTTTTAGCGACTTTAGTAAGCAACTGATTGTTTTTGTCACATTTCAGAGCTGCCAAATACACGTAATGATGCCAATATGTTACTAAGCGATTTTAAGGAAGCAATTTAAATTAATTCAAAGTTCTTATAAAAATAATACTAAAAATGTTCAGGAAACAATAAATATTGATATAATTTATATATAAATTATTTTTTGTTTTTTAAGAAATAATATTACGTTTTTATATCGTTTTTATGTTAAAATATTATACAATTATATAAAAAAAGCAATTATAATTTATTCAATATAAAAAAGTAAAATAAGTATATTTTCATAAGCAATTTCTCTTCGCAATGCTCACAATGGGCGGAGTTTCCGTTCTTTGAATTGTTCTTTGGTCTTTGGTGCTTTTGCTTTTTTTTATTGTGAACGTTTTTATGTGCAAGAAAAAGCATATAAAAACAAAACAGATGTTCAGATTCTTGTTGTATTAAAATTGAATTCGGCAAGTGTCGAAGGTGTAAGAAACTAAACATGAAGCAATGTAATTATATATTAATGCTATTAAATAATAAGGATGATAAAATTAAAAAAGTTGTTCCTACATATGTGTTACAGCTTATATGCCAGAGTCTGATAGCGAAGATGAGCTTCCACCGGGTTGGGTAGAACAGGCAACGGATGACGGTCTTGTGTGTTATGCGAAGTAAGCATTGCAGTTAAAATAGCATTGTATATAAGTTAATAAAAAAACCGGTTATATTATTTATTACAAGTCGACAAACAAAAGTCACACAATGGACACATCCACGTACTGGACGTACGAAGCGTATAACCGGTGAACTACCCATTGGTTGGGAGAAGTCCACTGAACCGGATACCAAACGAACTGTTTTCTTTAACAAAGAGACGAATCAATCAACTTATGTAGATCCTCGTCTTGCATTCGCTGTTGAAGAAGCTCCATTAGATGTGGTAAGTTTAAAAAAAAAAATATATATATTAATTTAATTCTATAATAACTTAATTTAATAAGACAAAAGTGCGTCAACGTTTCGATGCAAGTAGTACAGCTTTACAAGTTCTACACGGAAAAGATTTAAATGGCCGCTTAGCAGTTATAACTGGTGCTAATTGTGGCATTGGATATGAGACAGCGCGATCACTTATTCTGCACGGCTGTGAGGTAATATTTGCGTGCCGAAATGTGACTGCAACACAAGAAGCAATTGAGAAAATTTTGGTGGAAAGGCCTACAGCACGTAGCCGCTGTCGTGTAGCTGAACTTGATTTGGGTTGCTTTAAGTCTGTACGTAATTTTGTGACACACATAAAGGAGACTGTACAGTATGTATATATATTTTTTATTCATTATTTTTTGTAATATTTATTTAATTTTAATTTTTTTTCCAAATAAATTTCATGCTTAGACATATCGACTATTTAATATTGAATGCCGGCCTATTCGGTTTGCCTTATTCCTTAACTGCTGATGGTGTTGAAACTACATTCCAAGTAAGCCACTTATCCAATTTTTATCTAACCAACGAACTCGAGAAGTTGTTTGATCACAAATCACGGATAGTTGTCCTTTCATCAGAGAGTCACAGGTATGTTCAAGTTACTAATAACATTTCACTGATAAGGACTGAAAATTATTTATAAACTAACATGATTAGATTATGTATATTATTTTTGATAATAAGCATAAATATTTTTGGTTCTGCGATTATAGATTACTGTTCATAAAAAGTTAACAATTAACAAAAAATGATTATTTTATTATTTTCTTAAATGAATTGCCCTTTTGGGTTTGTCAGGTTATGGCCTATGCCATAAACAATTGCTATAGAAACAAAAGTCAGAGATCACTGAAATGTACGTAAATAAACATTTTAGCATTCATAGTTTAATTATCTGTTCAAAGTTAGTATTTTAAGTAGTTTAAAAATTAAACTAAAAATAATCAAAATGAAAATGAACTTTAGCTATTCATTACGCTTTTCTACATAGTTTGATATAATTAAAGTAAAATAAAATAAAATTATTTATTTAATGTTAATTATATATATTATTTTTAAGAGTAGACTTGTTCTCAACCTGCTCTCAATGATAGGGTGGCAGCTTAGATCAGGAGTATCGTTGAATAGGTGCAAGATGTAGAGTCTTTTGGTTATTTTTGGTTTATTATTACTCGACTTAATAAATTTTAAATAGAATTTGTGTTAAATTTTGTATTAAATGAAGTTAAGCATGAATAGGCATGTTATTGTTGTTGTAGCCCACCGGGATCTGAAGCCCACATGTAAGGATTACAAAACGAATATATGGGTAGGGAAGTGGATAGAAGGAGTTTAGGGTAAGGAGTAATTGCAAAGGAAAGGGATGAATTAATTGAAATCAACCTGGGTTCAGCCGTAGAAACTTATTTATCTCAAGGGGGTCAGTTCAAAGGTTGATTGAAGTAAAATTATTGTGTGCAGAGAGACAAGAGCACAGATGGCCGACGTTATGGGGGGGAGGGGATAGTGCTGCAGTTTGGGCATACATTAGGAATGGACGTGCTGATGCGTGACAAGTAACTGTTAGCATATGGGTATACTCTGATCTTAATTGAGGTAGGACAGTGCTTGTTTTCTGTGAAATAACAGGCGGAGACCAACTTTGAAGCTCTTGTTGTTTTCGTTACTTATGGTTTATGTTTAGACGACTTAATAACTTTTTAATAGAATTAGTTTTAAATTTTCATTAATATATTTGAAAAGTATTAAAAAAAAGATTTTAAATTAGAATTCTTAGGAATTCTATGATGTTCTTGCTGTTGTGATCCCCGGTGGACTATATAGCAGATTACATGAAAGTAATTACAAATATGTATACATAGGTTAGGATGTGTATAGGTAATGGTAGTATGAAAGGAGAAGAAATGGCAATTTTACTATACTAAGCATTGCTATAGACTGTGAAGAAATGTATTTATTGAAAGAGCATAATTGCTAATTTGTTACTCTAAAATTAACAAAGTAATATCTTTCAAAACTTAGTTATCAAATTTGTTATATTTATTTATTTATTTTTTATAGCAAAAAGGTTATTAATACCTATAACCAAAGTTTTATACTATAAATTCCTGGCATAGTTTTGAAAAAAATTGTTATACAGAATAATAAACTAATGAGTTATTTTTAAAGACCTCTGATGATAATATTGATTGATGATATCAATATTCGATACACCTGTATAATCACTTGTTTGGTTAGAACTCTATGATCTTGATTATCTAAATTATTTATTTCTTGACAATCTGTTCTATTTTTATTGGAATGTGTATGTCTATTTAATTAATATAAAATGCAAATGAAATCTTTTATAAAAATATAAAAACGTGATTTGCATATGTTGTTAAGATTAATGCAAGTATATGATGTAAATTATCAATTTAATTAATTTAATTACAGTTTAACTGATTACATAGAAAGTTGCTATAAAGCAAATGCATTGAGTTTTACATAGCCATGCCATTTGGGGACTGACCCGTATTTTGCTGACCTTCGGGTGCAACTATTCTTTTATGATTTTAAATTAGTTTATTAACATTAAAGCATTTATTTTTTATTAGTTGAACTTTTTGCACTGAGATTTGTGCCATATGTAGAGTAATGAGAATTGATCACGTTAAAGGCTTAATTAAAACAGCTTTGAACTAAAATGAACTCAATTATTCATAAAACCTAATATAATTAAGTAAATATTTTTTATTATGTATTAACGTTTGCAATAGTAAAAATTATTTAATGGAATCACGTTCTTGGCATATTTATTTTTAATCGGTTTACTGATCACATAGAGATAGCCGGTTCTTCTTAATCCAATTTCGGTTAATACATATACTATGCTACAACGATTTAATGTTTATCCATTTTCAATTCTATTATGGAAGTGCCGGGAAATCGGGTTTAAAAGCTGGAAAACTATTGCGGTTGACACGTTTGTGAAATCAATATAAAAATTGTCTATACTAGTTCACACTAGGTAGTGTGTTTAGGTCTTGTTAGTGTCATTAAAGTTAAAAGTTGACGAAATATAGCGTAGTAGAAATATTCGTTCAAAATAGTTAACCCTACTAAAACTCATTGTCAAATCGGCTTGCCACTAGAATCGTGCTCTATTTTTCATTTTGATTTTTGTTGGTAATGGTAATGGTCATGGTATTTGGGGGTTTTCGGGTTAGGCTAAGACCCCTATGCACTGCGACCAGTTTGATCTATTGTGCATTCCTTTGTATTTAGATATTTAGTGTCTCGAGGAATCGAACCAGCTCTTTCGGAGGGAGTTTTCGAAGGTCTTCATCCTCTAGTTGATATGTACCTAAAATTTTGTTTCTTCTGTGACCTAGTGCATCACAGTTGGTGATCAGATGCTTCATAGACTCTTCCTCATCACAGCAGAATCTGCAGATTCTGTTGATCGATTTATATTAGAAATACCCACCTTAATATAAAACACTCTCTTTGTGCATAATTTTATTGCCTCATTCTTATATGCCCTTATTGAATATATTTCCGACAAATCTCCGACAGATCCAACTAACAAGAGTTTTAAGTAAAAACAACTATTTTGATTTTTAATACTAAAAAGGTTATTAATATCCAAAATTATGGTTTTATACATTAAGTGTCAGACTTAGTTATTATTAATTTAGTTCTATAATTTGCTAAATTACCCATGTTTTATTTAACTATAAAAAATTTAAATATATATAATATATTAAGAAAAAAATTAACAATATATATAGTTTGTGCGCTATATTTCAATAAAGCCTGGTTTTCGAGATGTCGCTGTTTAGAGTTGGAAATTTTTACATGAATATCCCTAACAATAAGTAGATACGCCACCTGGCGTCTTTTTGCTGGTACAAGCAATGTAAAATTAAGTAACGAATTAATGCATATCCATTACCACCAGATGGTGTGTATATTTTTTTATTGTTGAAATTAACAATAAAATATCTCGATATCTCGAGAAGTATGCTATATCAATATATAGCCTAATGAAAAAGTTGTTCAAAATAGCTGACCAGGTAATCTAAATCGCGCCAATACTTTCCAAGTTATATTCTTATTCTATATATTATGTAAATTTCAAAAAGCTTAAACTCTTTGCAATGAAGATGTTTGTTTTTTCCATTTATTCTTAAATATTTGTTAAATTCTGTATTCTGACCTTACCCACTGACTGTAACAAAACGATTATGTTGGGAAGGCAAGAACTCGGCATTTTTTAATTATATCAAAAAAATTAATACCTTAAAAAAAACAGAATCGTAATAAAAAAAATTTTATTTTTATACTTATTAGATTAATAGAGTTGCTTTCTAAAAATAGATTTGTAATAAAGAAAAGATCTTAATATAGAAAATTATAATGTTGTTGTTGTTTTAACCGATATCGGAGCCATAAGAACATAAATCTGCAGCTATTAAGGAGCTATGGACATTCACTCAATTCCTCCTGATCTTAGCTGGGCACCGTCCTGACAACGTACAGGACGAGAACTGTGTGACCTATTACCGGACGGCACCCTCGTGGAGGGTTCAGTAGAAGGATTTTTTGCCATTCTTCGGAAGTGATAGAAAGAAATAAAACGTTGAAGAAATATGTAGAAGTTAAGTTGAAGAAATTAGCCACTGTAGGTCCGGTATTGATTAGTTCAGATCGAGGTACCTGAACTACCTCGAAATTTTGTGAATAAGAATGTATAGATGGAAAATCGTTTAGGAGCTGTATATTAGCATAAAATATTTTCTATAAAAATCGTAATTGCCGCTTTCTTTTACATTTTTTAGTTGCTTTCATTTATGTTATTGTAAGATGATTTCTTTTTTTTTCAAATAATTAGATCTATATCCAATTTGTTTGCATGGAGCTGTGAAGTGCTACCATATATACGGTATTTTTAAAATCTGGATCCATATGATTTTTATTAGATATTTCTATTAAACTATTCTATTAAACTAACACGAATTCTCCTAACATCCCCTAACAATAATTCTATTAAACTAATGAGTAGTTGAAAGACCTCGAAGACCTTTTCTGTACTTAAAGAGTAAGATACTAAATTAGGAGATGTATTATATACTTATGTTATGTACATATATCAGCGACGCTGATATATTAAATTTGTTAATTCAGTATTATTTTGTAATTTCATTCCTTTTTTAGTTCTTTAGCATTGTTTTTTCTAGTTCTTTTTTTACGTGGGTTTCAATAGGAGATAGGAACCGCCATAGTGATCTTTATACAAAATACGTTCAGTGTCTATTTTCGAATCAATTTTCCAGTTAACTTCTTGTGTAAGAATATATCTGCAATGAACAATCATTTGTGATGAATACTAGTAATTTATTGGAATAACAATAAATCAACTTAACAACAAGTTGAAGAATATTGTGCCTATAACTTAGGCCAGTTCTATATATGTCGAATTATAGCATGTTCCCATTGCTTTCGTTAAAGCAGTTTATTTGATTTAGGTGTTGCTAGTGAAGGAAGGTTCTAGAACGGCCGGGTCTACGTCCCGGGTACCACTCGTCAATTTCGACGAACAAGTG